AACACAAAAAATGTAATAAACACATTTCTAACGTGCGTGATAGACGTAGAACCCAAAGACACAAATAAGAGAACTGTACAAGAAGAAATAAAATGACAATAGCTTAGGAAATAAAATTCATGTCTTACGTCTATACTGTGAATTTATTGTCTGATGTTTTTCTGATATGCAGCGGGTTTAAATGCATATTTTTAAGAAGATTATGAAGGTATTATTACCTTAAAAAAATATAATTCTAATTCATTGTATTATTTATTTTATAAAACAGAATTTATTCGTACAAGTAAATCTGTATGTATTACCTAACATTTTGTATATTATCTCTCACATTATTGTTACAATGATGTTATAGGGTGATATTACAATTGCATACGGTTTGCACTGTGCTGTTTTAATGCTATGGAATGGCAAATTAATTAATTAAATTTTTATCTCGAACGTGTCCAATAGAGTAGAGTAACAAATCTACATTGACTGCGTCCGGAAATCACAATGTACAAATATTTTCTATAATATACTTTTAGATTTAATATATTAATCATATTCATCTTTAAAAATTTAATCTGGCAGGAGTTTTACAAGCATGAGGATTCTGTAGTATTTGGATCAATATATAATCCTAATAAATAACTTAAATTCCTAATGATAAATAAAAACTTATTGCGATATAACACGTCATCGTCCACGCAATTTCTGTATGCCTTAAGAGAACTAAATTTATTTTCGGTAGGAGTTAGATCTACTTGTAGACGCAGTACTTCTCTTAATATGCGTATGTTTCGTTCGCATTTGGAGCGCGAGGCGGTGGTTACAATGAAGGGGCAAGATTGTCTTTTTAACTTTAAAATTATGTCAGTTCGTAAATCCCACTTACTAATATCTGCTTCAAACGCTATAATTACATTTGGTGGATGACTTGAAAGTATTATATTAGCATAGTCGCGAAAAACCATGCGATAACTTTCAAACTCGAACTGGCTTTTACGTCTATAACATTCGGAACATACTTCGACATTTCTACGTTCTTCGGTTTGTATTTTTGACCCTATCAATATAACTTTTAAATGCTTCATTCTCCTAGAGCAAAAATGCAACATAATTTCCCAGAGTAGTACATAATGTGCATCCAAAACATTTGCGACTATTATATGAACAGCATAGTGTAAATCATTTATATATAGATCCTGATTCATTATTCCATAATACAATGTCAACGGTCCTGATAGGTAATCAGAACAGAATTGTTGTAAAGCCAGATTGTTAGTATATGCAAATCTTTCCAAAAATTGTTGTATATTAACAACTTTAAGCTTTTTAATTTGGAAGGCAGTAATCCCACAGAATTTATATTTACATTGAGATAATGTCATGCAATAAATATAACGGTCTATCTCATGACACGACTTCAATTTGGTGCAATTTGTACTGTGATGATATGTCAAAAATTCTTCATGTTTCGAACAATAGTTCAGGCAATAACACCTCGTACAAGTTTGCAGGTTACGCTGTTCATGACAAACAAAACACGATTTAGCGAATATAATCATCTGCATTTCATGCGGCATCATATCACGTTGCAAATTCCTTTTGACTAAATTTAAGAGATTTTTTCTCGATTTGATCCATTCCTCTTGATTGAAATTGTGGGTTTTCCAAAATTCCGGATGATTATGTAAAAGTGTTTGTAAAATTCCGCAGATTTCTTGATGATTGTCTTTACTGAATAATTCATGATCACGGCTACAGTAAAGAATCATGTTGCACGAGAGACATATGTTGTTTTCTTTCCCATGTTCTCCTGGATATCCTTTGCACCAATGACAAATATTTGGATTGAAGAAGTTACGAGAGGGTGAATTGTTGGAGAAATTCTACATGATGAAAGAAGCGATTGTGGTGAAAAAAGCGGTGGTATATCAGACATGCCGATGTTATTGGCCCCTTGTTGATGAGATAACGAAATTCTGCTGTTGAATATATGCCAATACTTTGATATAATGGGTATTTACAGAAACGCGTTATTTGTAATATTGATGATGAAATAACGTGCGAAAATAGTTACCTGTTAGAGGGTCTAACAAAATTCTGCTTTCACAGTTTACGCGTACACTTAGTGACTGTTCGGAGAACGCCAAGGAGATATCTACATATCAGGTGTATTAAAAAAAAATCCATTATTTTTCCAATAGATGGCTTTAGTTATCTGTATCTCGCGTTATATAAGTCCGATCGGGTTCCACTAGATGGCGTTAGAAAGATGAGATTTCGTATTAAAAAAACTTTTGTGACTAAAAAACTAAACTTTGTGGCTTTTGTACTAAAAAAAGTTTTGTGATTAGTTGACTCAGTTTTGTTTGAGCGCGCGTCAAAGATGGACACTAGCAAAGAGAAAATTATATTTTACAGTTATATCGTACGGCGCTATATTTTACAGTTTTTCTTCGATAAAGGCGAAAACGCAAGCCAGGCGGCTGAAAATGTGAATAGTGTTTATGGTCCTGATACTGTAACAGCCAATCACGCGCAATTTTGGTTTCGTCGATTCCGTTCCGGTAATTTCGATGTCAAAGATGCACCACGCACTGGAAGGCCAATTGTCGAAAATATCGATAAAATCATGGACATTGTCGAGTCTGACCGTCATGTAAACACTGTTTCGATTGCCCAAGAGCTAAAGATTGCACAAAAAACCGTTTGGAACCATTTGAATAAGGCTGGATACAAAAAGAAGCTCGATGTATGGGTGCCACACGAGTTAACGAAAAAAAACCTCATGGACCGAATTTCCATCTGCGAATCGCTGCTGAATCGCAACCAAATCGACCCATTTCAGAAGCGGTTGGTCACTGGTGATGAAAAGTGGATCACTTACGACAACGTCAAGCGAAAACGATCGTGGTCGAATCGCGGTGAGCCGGCGGAAACGGTGGCCACGCCAGGGTTGACGGCCAGGAAGGTTTTGCTGTGTGTTTGGTGGGATTGGCAGGGAATTATTTACTATGAGCTGCTCCCCTCCGGCAAAACTCTTAACTCGGAACTGTACTGTCAACAATTGGACCGTCTGAAGGAAGCAATCGCCCAGAAGCGGCCAGCTTTGGCCAATAGGAGAGGAATTGTGTTCCATCAGGACAACACCAGGCCACACACATCGATAGTGACTCGCCAGAAGTTTCGGGAGCTTGGTTGGGAGGTTCTTATGCATCCACCTTATAGTCCGGACCTGGCACCAAGTGATTACCATCTGTTCCTGTCCATGGCGAACAATTTTGCTGGTGAAAAATTCGTTTCAAGAGAGGCTTGTGAAAATCGACTGTCTCAATCTTTTGCCAATAGGGACGAGGACTTCTATGAGAGAGGCATAATGAAATTACCTTCAAACTGGCAACGAGTTATCGAACAAAACGGCGCATATTTGACCTAAATCGGATCATTCTAACTATGGTAATTAAAATCTTCAATTTCATGCAAAAATAATGGATTTCTTTTTACTACACCTGATATTATGCTGTTATATTTATGTATTATTATATATTTATTTATATTTCTTATATGTCTTAGGAATCTTCAAACGGAATTGTCTCTGAAAATATAACGAACATATGCTTTGTTAAATATCATTAAAGAAATTTCTCTGGAGCTTTTCATTTATAATCCGTATCAAGTCGCTTCGTAAATATTATAATGCGCGCACCAAACGTCAGCAATGTAAGCACCAGCATTATGCGTCTTCCGCGACATGTATCACGTTCGACCTGTGTGAACTTGAGAAGAATAGCGTTTCTTTTTGTAAAGTTTTATTATATTGTAGTTATAAGTATTATTTGTAAAAACTTATGTTACGTAGATATGTGTTTTGAAGAGAAGAATAATTTGAGTTTGGTATATATGAATCTTGAAAAAAAGACTAATTTGATTTTGAGATTTCTGTGAAATTCTACAACGAAGCAGAAAACTAGATTAACTTTAAGAAAGACATTCTTCCACTCATGATTGTAACATTCTTATCTCAAGAAGACCAGAAATGCAAAAAGTGTCAGTGTGTCGAAATTGTTGCTCCTTAATCTTTCTTTCAGTCAGAAAGTGCGTTTGTTATGCAACTGGATAACTAATGAAGGGGTTCGAATGGATGAGTAGCAGCGAGTGATGAATTAACCGCATTGTAAATATGCTCGTGTTGGTGTATTCCATAAACCAAAAAGCCACACGTGGAATTCGGCGGTCCAATGTGAATCAAATGCACACACTACAAACGTAACTTCATCTCCATTAATCCCCAAACATGTTCAATAGGACTTATGTCTGGTGATGACTGTGAAACACCCGATAAAGGTGCGTGTCTGGGGTTGCTTTTCTACGCAAGGATTTGGAACATTATCTTTATTCATATATTACAATTATATACGGTTTGCACGGTGCTGTTAGTGGTACGGAATGACAAATTAATTAATTTAATTTTTACCTGAAACGTATCGAGTAGGGTAACAAATATTTTACATTGACTGCGTTCGGAAATCAAAATAGATATAATATAACTGCGCAAAAATATTTTCTGTGACATACTTTTAATAGAGATGTGCGAACTATTCGAATTCGAATCTAATGTAATTCGATTCGATTCGAATCCGAATCCCTACGAATCGAATCCAAATAATTCGAATAGGAATCAAATACATTATCGTTTGCGTGCATCAGCTACATAACGGGTCATCTGGGCCTGTATGTTTACCTATTAACTTGCAATTAACTTAACTTATAATTAATAATTTAATTATAAATTATTTTAAATATATATTTTACTTTAAGGTGATATTGCAAGATCAAGATGATATTAATATATTTTTTTCATATTAAAATCTTCCATTATTATTTGCATGTTTAACAGTCATGTTAAATTTTTTAATGATTCGATTCGATTTCATTCGTTTCGATTCGATTAGAATTCGAGTGATATTTCATAGATTCGATTCGAATTCGAATTTAAAAAATTAGATTAGGTTCGATTCGATTCGGCATAAAAATTCTTAATTCGCGCAACTCTAACTTTTAGATTTAATATATTAATGATATTCTTCTCTAAAAATTCAATCTGGCAGGAGTTTTATCAGTGTGAGGAACCTGGAGTATTTGGGTCAGTATATGACTTTAATAAATCACTTAAATTCCTAATGACAAATAAGAACTTATTGCGATATAACACGTCATCGTCCTCGAAATTTCTGTATGCCTTAAGAGAACTAAATTTATTTTCGTTAGGAGTAAGATCTAGTTGTATACGCAGTGCTTTTCTTAATTCCCGTATGTTTCGTTCGTATTTGGAGGGCGAGGCGGTGGTTACAATGAAGGGGCAAGATTGTCTTTTTAACTTTAACATTATGTCAGTTTGTAAATCCCACTTACTAATATCTGCTTCAAACGCTATAATTACATTTGGTGGATGACTTGAAAGTATTATATTAGCATAGTCGCGAAAAACCATGCGATAACTTTCAAACTCGAACTGACTTTTACGTTCATTACATTTCCGACAAACTTCGACATTTCGGCGTCCTTCGGTTTGTATTTTTGATCCTATCAATATAACTCTTAAATGCTTCATTCTCTTGGAGCAAAGATGCAACATAATTTCCCAGAGAAGCACATAATGTGCATCCAAAACATTTGCGACTATTATATGAACAACACAGTGTAAATCATTTATATATAGATCCTGATTCATTATTCCATAATACAGTGTCAACGGACCTGACAAGTAATCAGAAGTGAATTGTTTTTCAGCCTGACATTCAGTATATGCAAATCTTTCCAAAAATTGTTCTATATTAACAGCTTTAAACTTTTCAATTTGGGAGGCATTAAGCTCGTAGAATTTATATTTACAGTTAGATAATGTCATGTAATAAATGTCACGGTTTATCTCGTCACACGACTTCAATTTGGTGCAATTTGTACTGTGATGATGTGTCAAAAAGTCGTCATGATCCGAACAATAGTTCAGGCATAAACACCTCGAACAAGTTTGCAGGTTACGCTGTTCATGACAAACAAAACACGATTTAGCGAACATGATCATCTGCATTTCATACGGCATCATATCACGTTGCAAATTACTTTTGACTAAATTTAAGAGATTTTTCCTCGATTTGATCCATTCCTCTTGATTGAAATAGTAGGTTTTCCAAAATTCCGGATGATTTTGTAAAAGTATTTCTAGAATTCCGCAGATTTCTTGATGATTCCCTTTACCCTTTAATTCATGATCACGGCTACAGTAAAGAATCATGTTGCACGAGAGACATATATTGTTTTCTTTCCCATGTTCTCCTGGATATCCTTTGCACCAATGACAAATATTTGGATTGAAGAAGTTACGATAAGGGTAAATTGTTGGAGAACTACTACATGATGAAAGAGACGACTGTTGTGAAAAAAGCAGTGGTATATCAGACATGCCGATGTTATGGGCCCCTTGTTGATGAGACGACGAGATTCTTCTGTTGAATATATGCCAATACTTTGATATAATGGGTATTTACAGAAACGCGTTATTTGTAATATTAATTTAGAAATAACGTGCGAAAATCGTTACCTGTTAGCGGCTTGAACAAAATTCTGCTCTCACAGTTTACGCGTACACTTAGTGACTGTTCGGAGAACGCCAAGGAGATATCTACATATTATGTTGTTATATTTATGTGTTATTATATGTTTATTTACATTTCTTATATGTCTTTGAAATCTTCAAACGGGATTGTCTCTGAAAATATAACGAACATATGCTTTGTTAAATATTATTACAGAAATTTCTCTGGAGCTTTTCATTTATAATCCGTATCAAGTCGCTTCGTAAATATTATAATGCGCGCACCAAACTAACGTCAGCAATGTAAGCACCGGCATTATGCGTCTTCCGCGACATGTATCAAGTTCGAGCTGTGTGAGCTTGAGAAGAATAGCGTTTCTTTTCGTAAAGTTTTATTATATTGTAGTTATAAGTTTTATTTGTAAAAACTTATGTTACGTACATATATGTTTTGAGGAAAAGAATAATTTGGGTTTGGTATACATGAATCTGGAGAAAAAATATAATTTGATTTTGAGATTTCTGTGAAATTCTACAACGAAGCAGAAAACGAGATTATTTGTAAGAAAGATATTCTTCCACTCATGATTGTAAAATTCTTATCTCAAGAAGACCAGAAATGCAGAAAGTGTCAATGTGTCGAAATTGTTGCTCCTTAATCTTTCTTTCAGTCAGAAGGTACGTTTGTTATGCAACTGGAGAACTAATGAAGGGGTTCGAATACATGAGTAGCAGCGAATGATAATAAACCGCATTGTAAATATGCTCGGGTTGGTGTATTCCATAAGCCAAAAAGCCACACGTGGAATTCGGCGGTCCAATGTAAAGCAAATGCACACATTACAAACGTAACTTCATCTCCATTAATCCCCAAACATGTTCAATAGGATTTATATCTGGTGATGACTGTGAAACACCCGATAAAGGTGCGTGTCTGGGGTTGCTTTTCTACTCAATGATTTGGAACATTATCTCTATTCACATATTACAATTATATACGGGTTGCACGGTGCTGTTAGTGCTACGGAATCGCAAATTAATTAATTTAATTTTTACTTGGAACGTATCGAGTGGAGTACGGTAACAAATCTTTTACATTGACTGCGTTCGGAAAACACAATATATGTAATATAACTGCCCAAAAATATTTTCTGTGGTATAATTTTAGTAGAGATGATTCGATGAGAGCTATTCGAATTCGAATGAAATCGAATCGAATCGAATCTAATGTAATTCGATTCGAATCCGAATCCCTACGATGTGAATCCGAATATTTCGAATAGGAATCAAATACATTATTGTTTGCGTTCATCAGCTACAAAACGGGTCATCTGGGACGGTATGTTTGAACTACTTACTTCTAATTAACTTAACATATAATTAATAACTTAATTATAAATTGTTTTAAATATATATTTTATTTTAATATGATATTGCAAGAGCAAGATGATATCAATACACCCTTTCATATTAAAATCTTCCATCTTTATTTGCATGTTTAACAGTCATGTTAAATTTTTTAATGATCCGATTCGATTTCATTCGATTCGATTCGAATTCGAGTGACATTTCATCGATTCGATTCCAATTCGGATTTAAAAAACTAGATTCAATTCCATTAGATTCGACATAAAAATTCTAAATTTGCACACCTCTAACTTTTAGATTTAATATATTAATAATATTCTTCACCAAAAATTTAATCTGGCAAGAGTTTTATCAGCATGAAGATCCTGGAATATTTGGGTCAGTATATGACTTTAATAATAAAATTACTTAAATTCCTAATGACAAATAAAATCTTATTGCGATATAACACGTCATCTTTCTCGAAATTTCTGTATGACTTAGTAGAACTAAATTAATTTTCGGTAGGAGTTAGATCTACTTGTAGACGCAGTACTCCTCTCAATATCCGTATGTTTCGTTCGCATTTGGAGCGCAAGGCGGTGGTTACAATGAAAGGGCAAGATTGTCTTTTTAACTTTAAAATTATGTCAGTTTGTAAATCCCACTTACTAATATCTGCTTCAAACGCTATAATTACATTTGGTGGATGACTTGAAAGTATTAAATTAGCATAGTCACAAAAAATCATGCGATAACTTTCAAACTCGAACTGCCTTTTACGTTTATTACATTCGGAACAAAGTTCGACATTTCTGCGTTCTTCGTTTTGTATTTTTGATCCTATCAATATAACTTTTAAATGCCTCATTCTCTTAGAGCAAAGATGCAACATGATTTCCCAGAAAAGTACATAATGTGCATCCAAAACATTTGCGACTATCACATGAACAACATAGTGTGAATTTTTTATATATAAATTCTGATTCATTATTCCATAATACAGTGTCAACGGTCCTGATACGTAATCAGAACAGAATTGTTGTAAAGCCTGATGGTTAGTAGATGCAAATCTTTCCAAAAATTGTTGTATATTAACAAATTTAATCTTTTCAATTTGTTTGGCATTAAGCTCAAGGAATTTATGTTTACATCGAAGTAATGGCATGTAATAAATGTCACGGTCTATCTCGTGACACGACTTCAATTTAGTGCAATTTGTAATGTGATGATGTATCAAAAGTTCTTCATGATTCGAACAATAATTCAGGAAATAACACCTCGTACAAGTTTGCAGGTTACGCTGTTCATGACAGACAAAACACGATTTAGCTAACATAATCATCTGCATTTCATGCGGCATCATATCACGTTGCAAATTACTTTTGACTAAATTTAAGAGATTTTTCCTCGAATTGATCCATTTCTCTTGATTGAAATAGTGGGTTTTCCAAAATTCCGGATGATTATGTAAAATAATTTCTTAAATTTCGCAGATTCCTTTATGATCCTTTTTACTCTTTAATTCATGATCACGGCTACAGTAATGAATCATGTTGCACGAGAGACATATATTGTATTCTTTCCGCAGTTTTCCTGGATTTTCTTTGCACCAATGACAAATATTTGGATTGAAGAAGTTACGATAAGCGTAAATTGTTGGAGAAATTCTACATGATGAAAGAGTCGACTGTGATGAAAAAAGCGGTGGTATATCAGACATGCCGATGTTATGGGCCCCTTGTTGGTGAGACGACGAGATTCTTCTGTTGAATATATACCAATATTTTGATATAATGGGTATTTACAGAAACGCGTTATTTGTAATATTGAATTTAGAAATAACGTTCGAAAATCGTTACCTGTTAGCGGCTTTAACAAAATTCTGCTTTCACAGTTTACGCGTACACTTAGTGACTGTTCGGAGAATACCATGGAGATATCTACATATTATATTGTTACATTTATATATTATTATATGTTTATTTATATTTCTTATATGTCTTAGGAATCTTCAAACGGGATTGTCTCTGAAAATATAACGAACATATGCTTTGTTAATTATTATTACAGAAATTTCTCTGGAGCTTTTCATTTGTAATCCATATCAAGTCCCTTCGTAAAAATTATAATGCGCGCACCAAACGTCAGCAATGTCAACATCGGCATTATGCGTCTTCCGCGACATGTATCAAGTTCGAGCTGTGTGAACTTGATTAGAATAGTGTTTCTTTTTGTAAAGTTTTATTATATTGTAGTTATAAGTATTATTTGTAAAAACTTATGGTACGTAGATATATGTTTTGAAGAGAAGAATAATTGAGAAGAATGAGTTTGATATATATGAATCTTGAAAAAAAGACTAATTTGATTTTGAGATTTCTGTGAAATTCTACAACGAAGCAGAAAACTAGATTGACTTTAAGAAAGACATTCTTCCACTCATGATTGTAACATTCTTATCTCAAGAAGACCAGAAATGCAGAAAGTGTCAGTGTGTCGAAATTGTTGCTCCTTAATCTTTCTTTCAGTCAGAAAGTGCGTTTGTTATGCAACTGGAGAACTAATGAAGGGGTTCGAATGGATGAGTACCAGCGAATGATGAATTAACCGCATTGTAAATATGCTCGTGTTGGTGTATTCCATAAATCAAAAAGCCACACGTGGAATTCGGCGGACCAATGTGAAGCAAATGCACACACTACAAACGTAACTTCATCTCCATTAATCCCCAAACATGTTCAATAGGACTTATGTCTGGTGATGACTGTGAAATACCCGATAAAGGTGCATGTCTGAGGTTGCTTTTCTAAGCAAGGATTTGGAACATTATCTTTATTCATATATTACAATTATATACGGTTTGCACGGTGCTGTTAGTGGTACGGAATGACAAATTAATTAATTTAATTTTTACCTGGAACGTATCGAGTAGAGTAGGGTAACAAATATTTTACATTGACTGCGTTCGGAAATCAAAATAGATATAATATAACTGCGCAAAAATATTTTCTGTGACATACTTTTAATAGAGATGTGCGAACTATTCGAATTCGAATCTAATGTAATTCGATTCGATTCGAATCCGAATCCCTACGAATCGAATCCAAATATTCGAATAGGAATCAAATACATTATCGTTTGCGATGCATTCAGCTACAATAC